ATATTATACTTATACCAACTTTGAAACACCCTGTGCAATAATTTCACGTGTAAATTTTTCTAAAATATAATTTTACGGTCAAAGCCATGTCTCCTGAGCATTTTGTTTTTTCGATCATATCAATACAAGCCTTGGGTAATTTTTAAGAGCGAAACAAACTTGCCACCAAAAATTTGCAATTTTTTCAATTATCATTACTTTTTGATGATATTTTTTATTATTGCGAGGTGATGATTATTGCGAACTATATACTACTATAAACTGCCCATCATGTTCGGCGTTTGGGAAATGCTTGGCAGGGGCTTTAGAGGTCGCGAAACGGTACCAGCTTCGAAGAATGGCAAAACATATAACGCAATATGATTTATGCAGCCTCAATGTCAGTATGGACGGACGTATACAGGCAATGGTAGCGTATTTTTTACAATTTTTTTTTGTTTGTATACTTGAGTTACAGACATGGGCGCCGGACAGGGGGGGCAAGAGGGGGCATTTGCCCCCCACTGGATCACTGAAACAATAAAAATAAAAGCTATCTTCTTACATCCATCTGTAAAAAAAATCATTATTATGAAATTGTTAGGTGTTACCTGTAAAATAATAAAAAATGTGGTAATTATTGGGAAAACTGGAAATCGTCCGATTTTTACCAAAATTGGTATACACACTATTTTGAGGTCGTAGATTACGAATCTATTTTTTTCTTGGCGGTCTCTTACCGTTTTTCAGAAAAACAGAAAATTATTTCAACATTGAATTTTTCTTTATTTCGGCCCTATAAAGTAATAATTTCACTATATTTTCATTATATTATAGTTTATCTAAAAGCCACACTTGATTGGGGATAGAAAAGTGTCCAACATTTTACTGAAAAACACTTTTCTTAACAAAATAGCAAAGAAAATTGAGACCAGATGGAAGTTTGACATTTGATATATCCTTCTTTCTCTCTCCTATGTAATAAGAGAGACAAATATATTCTAGACCTAATCTAGAAATTTGAAAATTTACAACGTTGCCATATCTTCTATTTTTTCGGGTGATTAGGGATTTTAAATAAATTACCTATTATGAGATCGACAATAATTAAATATACACCTATATCCACAAAATTACGCGGAAGAGTTTTGATTGCATTGGTTTTAACTTCTTTGCGGAGGGGGTTAATCTTTTTTTAGTTAATCTAATAATATAACAACAAAAGATTAACACCCTCTGCATGGAAGTTGTAACCAATGCAATCAAAACTCTTTCGTGCAACTTCGTGGGTATAAATAGTCAGATCTCGTTGGTAAAATAGCAGTTATGGGAAGGAGCCGTTCTTCTGGCGACCGCCTTTCGTAATTCCAGAATGAGCGAAAAAAACACGCTAAATTTAGGTTTAGCATTGGCAGCGTTGCTTTAAATGCCAGAAACACATAAACTTACTTCGGGTTTCTCTTATTACCGATTATGAACCGTCCTAGAACTGTGATGCGTATGCGCAGAAGGAAATATGAAGACATTATTTCATTTGCGCATGCGCTGCAAAGATCTTGGACGGTTCAGAATCGGTAATAACAAGAACCCGAACAAAGCTATAATCTAACATTTTCAGATTGTTTACAAATTTATTTTAGCAAATTTTCCTCTATTATGCATAGAATTGGTTAAAAAAGTAACAGAAAATAGCAAAAATATTATTGATTATTGAATACCTAACAAAATATGTGCTAGAAAACCTTAAAAATATGATAAATTAAGAAAAATTCGATATTGAAATTATTTTCCGTTTTTCAGAAAAACGGTAAGAGACCGCCAAGAAAAAAGTTCAGATTCGTAATCTACGACTTCAAAATAGGGTGTATACCAATTTTGGTGAAAATCGGATGATTTCCAGTTTTCCCAATAATTACCAAATGTGAATTTTTTATTCATTTTTACCTTGCCCCCCCCTAAATTTCATTCTTCCGGCGCCCATGGTTACAGATGTTTTCTTGAATATCGTTATGAATGTTTATTAAAACCAGGTCTGTATCGCTAGCCTTTAACTTTTTTTTAATTTAGTATAGAGTAGGTATTCAATGCAGCGTAATGTGACGTTACAACAATGGTTACCTAAATGTCTTCATATTAAAAAAACTATAGATCAGTTCATTTCGCTCTTAAAAATTAGACAAAGCATATATTGATATGATTCAAAAAACAAAATACTTAAGAGTCATGGTTCTGACCGTAAACTTATATTTTAGGAAAATTTACACACGAAATTATTGCATAGGGTATTTTAAAAAAGTAAAAAACAACCCCCCCCTTTAACCCTGTAAAATATGCCAAATACTAAAGTTTATAAAAAACTGAGTTTACGAATTAAAGTTGATATAACTATACACAGTTTGTTAAAAAATTCTTGACAATAGAGCTAAAAATAACAAAAATATAACACTTTAAATTTGGCCAAAATTCTGTCCCTTGAATTTTTTTTGCATCTGAGTGTATAATTAATTTTTGTTTAAAACGGTTGCATCTTAATTCCAATGAAATGTAATTCTTAATATTATGAGAATTTTGTTTATATCTTGGATGAAACTTCATAATATTGTCTTCGGTCCCGCCGCGTAATATCCGCATCATTGTCATCCTAAATAAATAAACAACGCTTTGTTGTACAAAAAGCCAAAATAGCTTCATCGACAAAGTATTTACACAATAAACGAAAGCACAAAAAAATACAAATTATAAAAAATATCATACAATACAAATCAATTTAAAAAAAATTACGTCATTAAAATTACAAATAAAACATACATGGACATTGCAGAACACAGGCGTATCAATAAAATTTTACAAAAGAAAAATTGTATATGGATAAAATCATTTAAAGAGTTATAAAATAGTATACCTAGTATACTAGTATACTAAATAAATACTAGTATACCTAGTATACTTTAATACCTTTAACCAGTACCTATGTGAGATGATCAAAATTTAAAATTCAAAAATTGTTCATGATTAAACATCAACCAAAAAGTCGTTTACCGCATATAGGGCTCTCTCCAGTAAGTATGATTTCAGAGCTTTGAAAAATGCGGGAAAGAATGAAAGTGACTTGATATTCAAAGGCAGGTGATTGTACATTTTTTTGGCATTGTACAGTATTGAGCCTTTAAATAGTTCTGAGATCGGGGTTGGCAGATAAAGAGCGTGCTCCGCATTCCTAAGTGGTTAGTTGTCAGATGGCCTTTCCAGAATAGCAGATATGTGCTTGCGGATTAAGCAAACGGATTCAAAAATGAATAAAGAAGGAAGAGTCAGTATTTTGAAATTTTTAAAGAAATTCTGGCAGTGAGTTCTACTGTTCAGTCCCAATAAATATCGAACTGCTCTCTTTTGAAAGAGAGCACAATACGATCAAATTTTGTCGTGCAGCAAGTACCCCAGAATGGAAGGGCATAACGAAGATGCAACTCAAAAAGGGCATAATAGACCAGTCCTTTTAGTAGAACACAAAGAAAGTAAGATTTTTGAGCGATGTGTTGAACATATCCATTAATATTTGTTTTAAACATTTAAAGCTGTAAATTACAATTTATTACTCGTTGTTAAATATAAACTAGACCTGTATAACCCAGAGGCTTTATGAGATATGTTTTTATACCTTTCGAGCATAGATACTATACCTGTTCCTACAAGTTTATGGGTAAAAGAAATGTAATTTCCCTTCCAGACGACTATAAAGCTCTTGAGACATCAAAAAGAAAACGTATGAAAAAGATGACCAGTAGATAAATAAAGTAGGGCTCTCCCTTACCTTTTCTTGTTTAAGAAATATTTGGTACCTCCTATAGAAATATCAACCCTAAATTGGTCTAGCCTAAACTATCTCTCATTTAGATAAAGTAAGTATATTCACCAATTCACATATTTCTCTAAAGACGTCCAATTTACCCTAAAAACTAAAAATTATTCTATTTTAGACAGTTTTTTTTATTTTAGACATTCTATTTTTTAAAAGTTTTCAAATAAAAACTCAAATCATCCTTAATGAAATTGTGTTCTCCGATTTTATTCTAAAGCCTGTCATTTTTGACATATGACACTAAAGTTTATAAAATATTCCATGGGTATAGTGATAAATGAGGTCTAAATTATAAGAAAATGCATTTTCTACGAAAATTTGAAGAGATGGGTAAAAAATGGTATAACACAATTTGATAGACAGTTATATTGTCCATCTGATTCACGTAAAAATATAGCGCCATTTAAATTAAACAAGTTATTGCCGTTTAAAGCTAGTAATTATTTAATATAAATTTTTGGACACTCTGTAGAAGGTAGTAAAATTTTTATTATTGCAACACAATATCTGATCAATAAATAATCTTCAGTAAATATTTAGTATTAAAAACTTAGATACCCTTGGAGAAATAAAGCCTTAAATTTTTTACTGCAATTTTATAAAATTGAAAATATTTCAAAAACCGTAAGGTTTAAGTGTGATAAACCTTAATCAAATTTACCTTTATTTCAATCGTAGAATCCAAAAATAGAATAATATATAGGGTGTTCTATTTAAAAAAATACAACTATAATATTTTTTACTTATTTGGGACACTCTGTATCTTGTAAAAATATTTTTAAATTGTAGCTCTAATAGACCTTCAACGAACCCAAAACTTACAATTTGTAAAAATCTAATCGTTTAGTACAATACTCCGTGTCGTATGTGGTGAACAACCCTGTATATGAATTCAAAATTTATATATCTTTAAATATATTTATATTTTACATGGCATCTATTTATAAATATTTTTGTTTTTTTCTTGTATTACGCAAAGATAGTGTAATAAATAATTTAATTATATATGTATAAAATGAATCCCATTTTACTCTAGCTCTAGCGAAATAAGTACAATTTTATCTTCCTAGCAGCCATATGATAAATATAGGTATGTACCTCTATATTTTTTCTTTGGAATAAAAAAATACCGTTCAAATCTTGTTTCTAGATAGTCAGTATACATACAAATGTGTCTGAGTTAAGAGGTGTACTAAATACTTTAAAAAGTTGAATATGCACATTTTATAACTATTTATTTAAAACCAATTAGACGGTTATTTATATGTATGTATACTCCACTTCCGCTATTTTTCTAGTTTTAAATTCTCAGATACGCTGAGGAAAAAATAAAACACGCACGGGTAAGTAAGTCTTTTGCAGATAATACAGTAATAGCCCCGCAAATACGGGGTGTTTCACAAAACGTGTGCCATCTCTCGTGAGGAGATTCCTCCCCTAAAAATAAGATTTATTTTTTGTATCAACGTCCGATTCTGCTTTGTTTCTTAGTTACAGTGTGTTTAAGTAAGATAAAAATGTGTCGACATATTTACCAGGGAGGTGCATAAAGGTTATCACTGGAATATGTTTTATACAACTATTAACTGGCATGAAATGGCCTACACACTTTTGCTAATAAGAGGAAAAAAAGCCAATGGCGCACATGTTTTTTTTTAGAAAACCATTCCAGTGAAAAGCCATATGCACGTCCCTGGTGAACATAATATCGACTCTTTTTTAGCATTAAAGTATGTCGCACTTATAGTAACTTTTACCCCTCAAAGGGTATAGCCGGATTAATATAGGAAATCTGCCCCCGCGGCTTTTTGACTCGCACTCAGGGGTGTCGAATCAAAATAATTCACCTAAATTTTTAGCTCTTTAACTCAAACGATTTTCGAAATTTTCAAAAAAACTGTTTTTTAAATTTTATTTTTATAGTAAAATTAAAAATTAATTAAGAATGATTTTTTCTAATTCTTAGAAGTCTGAGACGTGAAGAAATAATATGATCATGATTTAAACGAAAAGCCGATTTTTAGCAGAGGAAAAAAAATTAAAATCTTCATTTTTTTAACCTTTGTGAAATAGGTATGTCACCCACTAAAAATCCTCAGAAAATGTCTTTTATACTTCTTTACACTCAGGAATTCTTTAGAATTTTTTGAAGTGGAACAATATGAAAAAAATTAAAAACTGAAGTTTTCCCATATTAATCCGGCTATACTCTTTCATTCGAATCGCTAAAAGCACTTGGAAGAAAAATATAATAAATCGAAAAAAAAAGGTGAAGAGTTAAGAAGAGTTTTCGGGCCTATGTTAACATGAAAAATAAATATTATTTTTACGTGAGGAATCTCCACACGAGAGATGGCACATGTTTTTTGAAACACCCTGTATATTTCTTAAAACCAAAATTTATAATAATAATTAAATCGACATTAAACATCAATAATTTCTAATTTTTAAAATCCAAATATACGTTAGTTAAATATACTGAAAGATATTATTACTCTTATTATTTTACCGTTCATTTTATATAATTACTCCAGCTGTAATAATAATAATACGGGTATTTTATTAGCACTTTTTGTAGTTTATAGATATTTATGATGTGCAATAGTTTTTTTAACTCTTTAGGTTGAAAGTTAATAAATTTAATTTATTAATTTACAGTATTAGTTAAGAATGGTTATTATCTAAAATTTCATTCATAAAATGCTTCAGATAATCTATATACTTACATATAAATATTAATAAAGCTGTTATTTTTGATTTAAAAGTTACAGGATTTCCTTAAAATCCATTATTGATTTTCTATATTAGAATTATTATTCATTGCAAGAAAAGAATGTTTAGGCCTAAAATAATTTTGACTATATTTCTGATTATTATAGGGATTTGACGAATTCAATAAACGATCAGATGATATTAAATTATTAATCAGTCCATAGCATGCAAGAAAAAGAAATGTAAGTAAAAATATACTGTTTAATATATTTTTTTTTCAAACGTCACAAAAGTGTTAATTCTTTCGACTTGATCGACAATATAAAAAAGTCATTTTAATGCCTAGGCATAAAAGTAAACCACTTTTATGCCTAAGCATAAAACTATGAGAATAATTTATTATTAAACTGGCATTAAGTGTCAAATTCAACGAGCGTAACTATAGTTTCTCCATATTTAATTACTTACAAAGTATGACTTTTAAATTTTTTATATTATTTGGAACGTTTGAAATTGTTTAAAAATGATTTGTGGCGTTTAAAAAAAATAGCATGTTCTATTCGGAGTAAAAATGCCTTTTTGTGCCCCCGCCTGTATGTCAAACGTATAAAAAGTAAGTAAAAGTGTAATTTTTACTCCTAATAAAACAATATGTATACTATTTTAAACAATTTTAAACGTTCAAATAATAGTTATTGTTTATACAAGACGATAATGCAATTTTATCGTCGTGTATAAAACAATATTCTTTTCCATAGCCAGTTTTTTAAAAAATATTCAGAAATTATTATTTCAAGGAATTTATTACGAGTAGAAAAAATATTGTGCTGGGTTGGCGTTGGTTTCTATGTAATTTGACAAATAAATAAAGC